TTTTTTTTAATATTTATTGTAAAAAAGATGTGAGAAATGCAAGCGAAAGTCAGCGCACTCTGCAAAGGGTTAAGGGAATTGCGGATCCAGATAACAGTTTTGCGGTATTACAACAGGTACTACCCGAAAAGGCTATTCAACTAGCTGACAAAGCACCGTTTAGTTCTTCAGAGTATACAGATGAAACAGCAAAAAGCTATAAAGCGTGCATACACAATGCAGTTCACAAAAATCATCGCTCTTTCGCAGATTCTTTCCTAAGATTCTGGAATCGATTTTCAGCCGGCCACGAAAGGTTGATGAAGTGGCTTCCCAGGAAGAAGTTGTAGCAGTGCTGAAAAAAGTACTTACTGGAGCAGATGTAAGTTTTTCTTTACCTTTTTCATGCAGTCCAAGACTAGGGAGTACGTTTTGACTTGATCTTTTTTAAGTTAGCTTAGTTCTCGCGAACTGCGGCATCATACGTCCTATTTTCAGCTACCAAATTTGCTATTCTACGGACCTCCAGGAACTGGCAAGACTTCTGCAGCAGTTGCACTGTGTAGACAATTATTTTGTACTCCCGAGTTATACAAAGATAGAGTTCTTGAAATGAATGCTTCCGACGAACGAGGCATCAATGTTGTTCGCAGTAAAGTAAGTTTTTCCCCCTCATTTCTGAGTTTATTTTTATGATATCTTCAGGAATCTGTGCTTGAAATTTATTCTCAAATGTGATGCTGATTTTCAGATAAAGGAATTCGCTCGGCGAGCTGTTTCTTCGTTTCTCCGGGATGGGAGCTCTGTAATAGGATTAAAGGTTAATAGACTTGCTATTTGATGAAACATTTTATCTACTATAAAAGCTTCTATAAAATGCTTAATTTTTTGTTTTGGTAAGGTAAGGTTAGATTCAGTTCTCTTCCTCCCTCTTCTTTTTTCGACTCATAAGCCTCCATATAACTTTTCTTGTAGGTTATCATTCTTGATGAAGCGGATGCAATGACAGCGCCTGCACAGGCAGCTCTTCGACGAACAATGGAAAGAGAATCACGCACCACTCGTTTTTTCCTTATCTGTAATTACATCACACGAATCATCGACCCGCTGACTTCACGTTGCGCTAAATTCCGTTTCAAATCACTTTCGGCAGGAAGTCAGAAGGAAAGGTTAGTGATTTAGATTCTGAAGCTCAGAGAATACTTATGATGCCAGCAAGGTAGGAATAATTCTCTTTGCAGCCCTAGATAAATAGCCTTATAAATTGCGCGTGACCTTCCAGTTTTTTAGATACAATTTATAGTGCGAGAGGTTGCTATTTGGGCGTCTCTTTTTTATCTAGGAATAATAAAGTTTAGGGCTAAATGATGATAATAAAGATATTTATGATGTTGCACATAAAATGCAAAAAAAAA